AAATATTCCTCTTGAACTTTTATCAATCATTCATTCATTTCCAAATTTTTTGGGGCTATAAAATGTATCTATGCATATATATGTTTACATATGAGTCATTCTTGATCACTACCAGGGATGCCGTTTAGATCTAAATAGATCCAATTGGATACATTTTTAGACGAATTTTTGCGAGATACTTATTTTTTCCGATCATTATAAATGTGGATACTTTTTTAAATAGGCCAAAATTTTATATTTTCTATAAAGTTTCTTTCGTTCAAAACTCGATTTTCATTAAAGATGGTAGAAAGCATTACGTTTTCTAAATGTATTAAAAATCGCCATTTAAGCGTGAAATTAAAGCATTTTATTTTTTGTGAACGAAGCAATGAACATATGAAGAAATCTCACCAAAATAGGTATAAGCGCAATTGTTTTAATTAGCTAAAAAGGATGCTTTATATTACATTTACATTGAGCCCAAATGCGTCATTTGGGCGAGAAACCTCAAATGCGAGGCCAAATCACGCATTTCTCCATACAAATTCACATTTCCAGAATGACGCATTTCGACGCATTTACACAAAATCACGAAACAAATGCGTTCCAATTGCCGTACTATTTTATTGAACGCACTCAGAAACAAAAGTTCCACAAAAGCTTTGGTTTGTCTTTGACATTTGGAATTTTTCAAACACAAAACAAACACAACGAAATAAATAAATCTTTGAAATTTGTGTGTAAAAATTGTTAATTTATAAAAGAGCTTTACACATTTTTAGTTTAATCAAAGAATAATTGCCTTTTTGTGTCCAAAAAGCGTTAACAATATAATAAATGTAGTGTTTGTTTACATACATTTTGTTTTTGTCTTCCCTTTTCATTTGATGAGAAGTCAAAGCAAATGCGGATCAAGCAGTGTAAACACCTTCAAATGACTGATTTCAAATCACGCATTTTGGTCCAATGTAAATGACGCATTGGGCTCAATGTAAATGTAATATAACACTTCCAAGAAAAAAGTTTGAAATTTAGGTGAAATTTTGTTGCACTTTTTTGAAGTTTTCTACAAATTGTTAAACTTGGGTATATATGGGGTTTGTCTGAGAATGAACTAAATTTTAATTGAAAATTCTTAAAAATAAATAAATAAACATTAGTGGCACACAATATCACTTTGAAATGGCGTGCTATAGATATGACCGATACTGTATATATAAAGTAAATATATACACTTTCTGTAGTAATCTCTTTCATATCACATAATTTCATTTGATTTATTTAAGGAGATTTGTATGATTTTTACTGAAAAAACTTTAAATACACTCTAAAAAAATTTTTTATTTGCGCTTATTAAGAGAGGTAACCAGTTTCCTCTTTTAATGTGTGCAAATTTGCATACCGTGTAATAAAACTAAACATTGCCTATTTACTTTTACATACCACATTTGTCGCGAAGAGCAAAATTACACATTAAAAGTTTAAAATAGAGTAAATGTGAGCCCCTAATGTTTATTATTAGTAGGAAATGTATTTTTAGTTTGAAAATTTTTGCAATTTTAAACATTTTATATATGTATTTATGTATATATTTTAAACATCTCAAGTTCAAAATCAAATCCTGAACATCTTATACGTATATTTATGCAGATTCTTGTTGAAAATAGATGTTTTTCAGTAGTAGTTTTACATGCTCTTTTTAGAGTGTACAGGTACAAATGTAGCATATTAATAACTATTTATTATACTTACTTTGCAAAATAATTATGCACAAAAAATTTAATTTATAAATTGAAATTACAAATGTTTGACTTTATGAAAGTCCTTAGGATGGGTTAAGTTATGCCTTTTTCTTGAAAATTTTTGGTTTTCTTACAAATTATGAGATGTATACGAAAAAAAAGAAAACTGGATACATTTGGATACATTTTTGGCTTGGCCAGTGAAACATTTTCTTGGGAGGGCGCGGCGACACTGATCACTACCACGCGAGCTCTCACACCAAACTTAAAGAACTGTCTATTTGATTAGCGAAAACATCGAATTAATAGGCCGTAATACCTGATGAGTAACGAGCCGGTAAAATGCTACGACAAATGGCTTATGTAGATAAAAAAAGTGTCTCTAACATACATATTAAAAAAAAGCAAGGGAGCCATTGTAAAAATATACAGAGTAGCCCTAGTATACTTGAACATATCGACACCTCCAAACCCTGCCATGCTAAAGGCTGGTTTTCACTATGTCATATTTTGACAACAAATTAGGGGTATTCTCCAAATCTTGCAAAGCCATTGCACGTAGCACGGATTGCACGGATTGCATAAATTGCAAACACACAACAAGAAAATTCATGGGAAACAACATTTCCTATCGCTGCAAAATATGCAACGTCGAGATCCATGTATATATTTTGCAAAATAGCATAGCAAGATAATAGCGACCCTGTGCTAGTTGTTTTGTTGTTGGAATTGCTACATATTTCTCTCATTCCTCTCATCTCGCTCACTTAATTTTTTTTGCTGTCTCTTGTTATTGTATTTGATACATAATTTCGCTGCTTGCTCCCCATGCATGCTACCACTTTGCAATGGGGTGTTCTCGAACTCTTCGAAATTTGGAATAGTATTTTTGCATTTCGTGCAATCCGTGCATCGTGCAAGACTTCGAGAATACCCCTATTTTGTCGACATATTGCCTCCTTTTCCCATAACTTCACCGTTTATATTATTGGCCAAAAACGTACAGATTACCAATTTAGCGGCACATGTACACAACTGAAGACCTATTCTGGTCTAAATAAATCGATAAAGCGTTTTTTAGTTCCATTTGACAATACGTTTTCATATATTAGACGCCAAATGGCATTGAATTTGACATAGTGAAAACCAGCCTTAATTCATTAGAGTTTTAGGTAGACTTAGGATAGTATGGTTTGGGGGCGTCGATATATAGTAGGTACATACCCTTGTGATCAGCCGATTAGGTTGAGTGACATTTTGACCAATTTTGGCTATTTTTCTTCTTTCTGCTTAATGTTTATATATTTTTTTTACAAAAGTTTAGCAGATTACATAACCAGCATCAAATAAATCCACATTTCAAACTTCTTACAAAATTTATAAAAACTAAGCAAACTAACAATTACAACCAAAAATTTTTAACTTTTTATTGAAAATTTTTAGAAAAATTTTTGATTTTTAAGAACTTTTTTGGCTGACGGTGTTGAGTATTTTCTCCCATATAAAGTATGCTCGACAATTACTTTTATATGGAGGCAAATGCCTATCGCCTTGAAAGTTGCACTTTAGCCTACTAAAATTTAATGGGGTATAAAACTGGATATCTAAAATTTTTCTATACATAAATTCTGAATAAAAAGTTTAAAATTTTTGGGTGCAATTGTTAAGGTTTATTGAATTTTTATACGAAGTCGGATTTACGTAGTGCATAAAAAACATAAACAGTAAAAAAAAAAACAAAAAATAAACGAAACTGGTCAAAATATCATTTAACTTAACCAGCTGACCACAAGTGTATGTTCATGCATACATATGTACATATGTACATACAAAGTAAGCAAGTGAACACTTTTTTTATCATCTCAGAATTGCTATTGTGAGTTAATTTATGAAGCAGATACTTTATTGCTAGTATATTATACTTTTTTGGGATTGAGTATATGAGAGCTCGTTGAAAACCCTAAGATAATCATTTGCAACTATAAGCTACATAAATATTTTTACAAAACTATTAGCTGTAGAAAATCTGAAATATTTGTAAAATTTGATATTGTGGGCTAACTCTACACAAGTTGAACAAAATCGCTTTTATACATATTAGCCATATACGCCGGTTGCTTACATCTCCTTAGATGCAAGTGTCATTTATGAACCGAAATATGGGTATTTCCATGATGTGGGACGTGACATTCGTATGACTTTAGAGTTAATTAAATCATACGAAAACAGAAGTAACTTATAAAAAACATTGCCGTTCTGAAGCTTTTATACTGTGCTTTGGTTGACAAAAAAATTAGCTGAGCTTGAAACACTGGCGTAGAGAAAATCGATGAAAAGGCGGTCATAACGGGCGTGACAAAAACAATAGTGTTTTCAGAGTACATACATGTAAAAATAAGCAAAACTCTGCGAATCCGGTGAGAATTTGCTTGCTTAAACATTCGTTCAATAAAGTCAAATTACGAACCATTACAACCAATTCATATTTAATCAGAAGCAATTTTTTTTAATTAAAATGTGATAACGGACATAACAGATTTTTCCCCCATACAATGTTACTGTAATATATGTATATTTTTTTTTTT